AGGCAGTTGGGGGGATGGGAGGGAGGGAAGCAGCCCCGGTGGGCGAGTGCCACAGTGGCTTCTGCAGGACCCCGGTGACTGGGTCCTCACGGGAGACCGTCTAGGAGATGTCATGTCCTGGCTCTCCGGGCCTTGCTGCTCTCCTGGGCCCACGTCTGTGCACATCTCCATCCCCTCCTCCAGCACCAGCTCACGGTGCCCGCTGAGGTCTGCAGTGTCTTATGATGATCACTGGGGAGCTGTTCTCACAAATGTCCTCACCATGAACTGGGTGACAGTTAACAGAAGTGGTCAGCGCTCTACCGGACGGCCCACATGCATGGCGTTTCTCATACTGATTGCTGTTCCCTCTGGCGAGTCCCTGCCCCGCATCCTCTCTGTGTCTGCCCCTTTCCTGACCCTTCCTCCCGGTGAACTTTGTCTTTGTCCCCCGTATGTCCTGACCTTTGGTCGTGAAGGCCGGTGCTTCTAGGAGGCACTCACCTCCCTGCTTATCCCTGATCTTTGACTGATGGTGAGTCAAGGCGTGAGCTCAGTGTCAGTCAGGCTTGAAGGGTGCGTGCGGCTGGCTCCAGCCTCTGCCTGACCTTCTCAGGATTTTGAGGTGTGTCTCCATTTTCCGTCCACTCTGGCTGGAACCTCCTGTTGGGCCTCCTCTGGTCAGTGGCAGCCACACTACCCAGCTCTTGTCGCCTCTGCTGTGACTGGCGGCTTTCTGCACATTCTAAGGCTATTAACGGCCATGCTCACTGCTGTCGAGTTGGCTCCTGCATGCAATGGCCCTAGGCGGGCTTTTGGAAGCTGGAAAATCGCAGGGGAGCAGATTGTCTGTCCTTCTCCCACAGAAGGTGCTGGATTCTAGCCCCTGAGGTGCTGCCTTTGGGCGAGTACGGCTCCCTGTGCGTGGTGCCCGCAGAGCCTGGTTAAATAGGGTACTTTTATCCAGAGAGATCTTCCTTTCCTGAAGCCAAAATTGATGCTCAGAAATGGTGATTTTTCTGAATATCCTTAAGCCCCTATCTGTGCCACTTGAGTCTAGCAATAGGGTTGCATCAGTGTTCCCCAAAAAACCAAACTGCTGAGTCAATTCCAACTCATGGTCACACACACACACACACACACACACACACACACACACGGTTTCCAGCGCTGCAGAAACTAGTGGGGGGACTGCCCATCTGTCTCCCAGCATGACTGGAGGGTGTGGCTGCGGTGCAGACGTGTCACTGAGACTTCCCCTCACCCGCAGGTGAGCCCTGTAGGGGTGAATCTTTGCTGCTTCTGTTCCCTAAGTGGGGTTGAACTTAGGATATGCTTGATGTTCGCCCCGGAGTTCAGATTCTAACACGGGGGACCTTTCTGGGCGGTGTCAGGCCGTGTGGACGCGCAGGGGCTGTGAGCCACGTAATAAATGACCCAGCTCAGCGGCCACGCCCTGTCCATCAAGGGGGCCTCTGCCGTAGGATAATCATCGTCCCCAGAGAGTCGCTGTTGGAACACTTCTGAGGATGTGGGGATATTTTCACCTGGAGGGGGGAGCAGGGCTTCTGGGGAGCCAGGGCGGAGAGAGCAGTGGCCTGCATATGGCCTTTAAAAAATGCTGAGGGGGAAAAATGAGCAAAACCCCCATAAACAAACAAAACAAAACAAAACATGCCAGACACTCCCCACCTATTCACAGATGCACACCTGTCTGGTACACTCACATGCACCCGTGAGCACACACTCACACACGTACACACTCACATATGCCTAGGTGTGCTGTCTCCCACTCTTCCATACAGCCACATGCGTTCCCACACATCTGTATCTGCATGGTAATATGCACACACAGTCCTGTATACAGATACTGACACATGCACATGGGTACTTACAGACAGGCACACGCACTAACAGTCATACTCGTGCAGCCGTGTACACACACTCAGCCCCCCTAGACACACTCATGCACACACAGACATGTACACACGAACACGTGTTCACACATATGTACACATATGTTGTACATATTATGTGTTTTGTTACGTGCATTGGAGTCAGCTCTGAACCTTGCACTGTCCTGAGCCAACCTCACCTCTCACACATCTGATCCCATTGCCACAGTCACTGTTTCAATCCTCATTCATGATCTTCCTCTTCTGCACTGATCCTCCAGCCTTCCAAGGGTGATGTCTTTCTCCAAGGACTGGTCCCTCCTGGCCATGTGCCCAAAGTACATGAGACAGAGCTTCAAAATCTTTGCTTCCAATGAGCAACTTGGTTTCACCCTCTCTAGGACAGACCTGTTTGTTCTCTTGGCAGCCCATGGCATGCTCCAGAACCACAACTCAGATGTATCAATTCTTCTCCTGTCATTCTTATTCACTGTCCAGCTCTTAGATGCATAGTAAGAAACTGAGAAGACCGTGGTCTGAATCAGGTGCACCTTAATCTCTAAATTGACATTGTTGCTCTTAAGCACTATGGAGAGGTCCTCGACAGTGTATTTTCCTAATGCAGTTTGTCTTTTGATTTCCTGACTGCTGGTACCAAGAGTGTTGATTGTGGGTTTGAGCAGGATGAAAACATAAACAACCTCAATCTTTTCTCCTTCCATCATGATGCTGCCTTCTGGCCCAGTGGTGAGGGTCTTTGTTTTCTCGATGTTGAGATGCAATCCATGTTGAAGGCTGTAGTCCTACACACTCATTCATGCACGACTCACACCTCCATACCTGATCGTGCACTCACATAGACACATGTGCACACACATACAACATGTTCATACACCCATGTGTCCCCATCCAGGTATGCACGTACCTGCACGCCCACATACACTCATGCGTACGTCCATCATGGACACATATCTATTCACATGCGCTCCATTGAGTCAGAACTGACCCACAGCTCCAGCGAGTTCTCAGAGGCAGGAAGTTGCGTGGCAAGATACTATTCTTTCTCCCAAGGAGCTGCTGGTGGATTTAAACTGCCTGTCTTAAGGTTGGAAACACACCTCCTTAACAGTAGGTCACCTACACACACACACACACACACACACACACACACACACACACACTATTTACATATTTACAAACTGTTTACTACTGATCCACCTGCCCACACACACATATTTATGTGGTAATTTTTTAACAAGTTATATGCCTATGCCCTGGATGTGATCACCAGGTTGTACCAAGAAATCTAGAAGACAACTACCTGGCCAACTGACTGGAAGAGATCCATATTTATTCCCATTCCAAAAGAAGATGACCTGACTGTGAAAATGATAACCATTATCACTACTATCACACACAAGCAAAATCCTGCTGACGACTCTCCAGAAATGACTGGACAGTAAACTGGCAGAGAATGACCAGGAATACAAGCTGAGTTTTGAAGAGGTCGTGGCCCTAGAGACATTATCTCCGATGTCAGATGGTTCTTGGCAGAAAGCAAAGAATACCAGAGGAATGTCGGTCTGTGTTTCATTGATTATGCAGAGGCATTTGAGCGTGTGGATCACAACAAATTTTGTCTAACCTTGAGGAAAATGGGAATCCCTTGGCCCAGGAAGCAGTCCTCAGAACAGAGCAAGGAAACGTCGCATAGTACAAAATCGGGAAAGGAATGTGTCAGGGATGCATCCTACCTCATACTTTTCCAGTCTATATGCAGATCATTTGGGAGGCTGGGCTCTATGAGGAGGAATGTGGCATCAAGATTGGAGGAAGACTCATCAACAACCTGTGATATGCAGATGACACAACCCTGCTTGCTGAAACTGAAGAAGACCTGAAGCTCGTGCTGCAAAAGAAGGTCAAGGACTGTAGTCTTCAATATGGGTTGAAGCTTAACATCAAGACAAAGATTCTCTCCACTGGGCCAGTCGGCAGCACCATGATAGACAGAGAGGATATTGAGGTTGTTAACAGTTACAGCTTGCTCGGCTCCACAGTCAGCACACAGAAGAAACTACGCCACCAAGGACCTTATAAACTCTGTAGACCTTAGTTTATGTTCTTTCTTTAGCTTTAGGGTTAAAAATAGCTACACTTAAAAAAAAATATCTACATTTTAAACCCCAGATGCTGAGTTAATACCACAGAAGATCATTAATTTGCATTGTAGATTGTAAATCAGAATCTTAGCATATCACTTGTAGAGTTAATTCAAGGTTAGATCATAGAAGTAATACAACCATATCATAGACTCTTTGGAGACCAGAGAAAGGAAATACAGGCTTTGGGTGTTTAGTTACAGTGATGTTAATTGGAAGAAGATTTTTTCCCTGTTTAAAGTATCTTGACTTTATTTTTCCCCCCTTAACTGCAAATAACTTCTTTTTTTTCACCTCCCATTTTGTAATCTCCTTGTACTAAAAACTAAACTGAAATTCAACAGGATTTCCTATCTATTTTTTTTTATTGTGGTAAAAACACACAAGCCAAAAATATTTGCTGAGTCAATGATTTGGGTTCTTGCTGTGTTTTTGGTTTTTCCTCTGCGATCTTTGGCCTTGGATATCTCAGCACTGTTTTCTGCTGAATTGCAGATGGCAGCATGGGTGATTCTTGTCTGTTTAGGGTTTAATTCTTGGGTTTCTGTGATTAGGGGTCTGTCTCTGTTGTCTTGTGCTGCCATAACAAATATCACAAGGGGGTGGCTTTGACAAACAGTTTTATTTCCTCTCAGCTCAGAGAGCTGTAAGTCCAGATCTCAGGTGCTGGTCCTAGAGGAAGGCTTTCTTTGTTGGTTCTGGAAGAACATTCCTGCCTCTTTTCAGCATCTGTGGGCCTACCATTCCTTGGGGTCTCCATGTGCCTTGACATCGATCTGACCCAGGGTCTTGGAGGCCTCTCGTGCAGGGACTCTGAGGCCTAAGAAACTCACCCCAGTCCTGGGCTCTTTTCTTGGTGGTGCAGGTCCCTTCCATTTCTGCTCACATGTTCAGTCCCTTTTGCATCAGAGGAGACTGATTTGAGATACAACCTAATCTGGCGGATTGCGTCCTTCCTCCCCAGCACGCTTCATCACCATCCGCAAGGTGAGGGTCTACCGCACGGGGGTGCTCACACCAGGGTGCGGACCGGATGGGGATATGACACTGGGAGTTGTGGCTCAGCTGTTGAGGACACATGGTTAGTTTGAGGGGTCAGGGGTCAGTGCATAAGAGGATAGTGGCTCTAAGTCAGTGTCTCTCCCTCCACGCCCTCCACTGGGGTCTGAGGCTGTCAGGCACCTTGGAGGGTGGACTGTCCATCCATCTCCCATCAGTGGACATAAGGGATTGTAACACACGAGAGTGGTGGTTCTGGCGTGTTATGTGCTGATTGTAGAAATACTGGCCCTTCTGCTCCCATAAAGGAAGCCTGGTGGTGCAGTGTTTAGACACTTATCTCCACTGAGTGGTTGGTGGTTTGAGGCCAGCTCTGCAGGATGAGGCGGTCTGCACGGTTAACGTCCCTGCGCTCTGTCCCCAGGGTTGCTGTGAGCTGGACTCCAGGGTGGTGGTGCAGTGTTTCTGCTTTTGCTTCCCCTTCCCCTCATCTCCTGACTGGAGCTCACTTTGACGGATGCCATTTGTACTTACTCACCTCCCTCCCTTCCCTGTGATGAAGACGTAGCTCCCGTTGTTCACGGAAACATGGTGCCTGGGCACGAGTCTAGCAGGACAGTGGTTCTATGGGCACAAGTGGCTGTGCCTGGTTACTGTGGCCAGGGTGCTGCTTGGTGGTCCCGGGGCCGAGCTGACAGGTCCTCGGGGCGGAACAGGGGCGGAGGGCGTGCTCTCTGAACAGCCTCTCTCCGCTCCCTTCCCCACAGACGTGCCCGCGCCCTGGGGGGCTGAGCCGGCCCTGGAGCCCACACGGATGCAGATGCCGCAGGGGAATCCGCTGGGGCTGCGCCACAGCCTGCAGGAGCTGCTAGCCCGCGACAGCGTGCAGGTGGAGCTCAGCCCCGAGAAGAAGGGACTGTTCCTCAAGCACGTTGAGTACGAGGTGTCCAGCCAGGTAACTGAGCGCGCGATGTGTGTGTGTGTCTGTGTGTGTGTGTGTGTCTGTGTGTGTATGAGAGAGAGAGTCATTAAAAACAAGGTGTCCAGCCAGGTAACCGAGCGTGCGAAGTGTGTGTGTGTGTGTGTGTGTGTGTGTGTGTGAGAGAGAGAGAGAGAGAGAGAGTCATTAAAAACAAGGTGTACAGCCAGGTAATTGAGTGTGTGATGTGTGTGTTTGTGTGTGTGTGAGAGAGAGAGTGAGTGTGTGTGTGAGAGTGTGAGAGAGAGAGAGAGAATCATTAAGAACAAGGTGTCCAGCCAGGTAACCGAGCATGCGATGTATGTGTGTGAGAGAGAGAGAGAGAAGAGAGTGTGTGTGTGTGTGAGAGAGAGAGAGTCATTAACTACAAGGTGTCCAGTCAGGTAACCGAGCGTGTGTGTGTGTGTGTGTGTGTGTGTGAGAGAGAGAGAGAGTCATTAAGAACAAGGAAGAATCCCAGCCAGGTAACCGAGCGTGCGTGTGTGTGTGTGTGTGTGTGTGCACGCGTGCGCGAGAGAGAGTGTCATTAAGAACAAGGTGTCCAGCTAGGTAACAAAGCATGTGTGTGTGTTTGTGTGTGCATGCGTGTGTGTCATTAAGTACAAGGTGCCGTGCCAGGTAACAGTGCCTGTGTGTGTGCGTGCACATGCGTGTGAGTGTGTGTGATGGTGTGCACACGTCGAGCCGGCTGGCAGGAGGGAAGGAATGGAGAGCTGGCAGCAGTGAGGGAGCCAAGTGGGTGCTGACGGCAGCTCCTGGGCCCGCAGCGCTTCAGGTCCTCTGTGTACAGACGGTACAATGACTTTGTGGTCTTCCACGAGATGCTGCTGCACAAGTTCCCATACCGCATGGTGCCGGCCCTGCCACCCAAGAGGATGCTCGGAGGTGAGGTGGGACGTGAGGGCGGGCCAGGCTGTGAGGGCGGGCTGCCTGGGACACGGAGGGGAGGGGAGGCGTGGGGGAGGGCAGGCCGCCCAGGAGGAGGAGGGAAGGGGAGGTGGAAAGTGGAGAAGAGATGAGGTGGGAGGTGAGGGCAGGCCGCCCAGGACCTGGAAGGGAGGGGAGGCTGCCCCAGACACGGAGGGCTTCTCACAGTGGTGGGGCCCCTGCAGGCCAGGCACTGCCTTGACTGGCTCCAGCCTTCTGCCTTCCTCCTGGATGAGGTGCCAAGGTGTGCAGGGGTCAGCTGAGATAGAGAGTCCATCTGGCCTGTGGAGGAACACTCCCTGCACAAGAATGCTTGCTTTGTGGGGACAGCCCCTCACAGTTGTGAAGGAAAGAACCCCAGTGACCAGATCTCTAGGGCCCCTGGGGAGGATCACCCTGTCCTCACATCCCTGGGGCTGAGCTTGTTTTGCTGGCCGGACAAGATGCCCTGGTCAGTGGCATGCAGAACATGTGCGGGGACAGAACATGACCACAGCCTCAGGACAAAGAGTACTGGACTCTGTGAGGTCACACTGCACACACTGCCCTGTACACAAACGTGCTGTTAGCAGCCCTGCTGATGCCGGTTACGTGCCCAGAAAGCCAGCCCACCACCACTGACCATGACTCATAGCGACCCCCGGAGGAGCTGCCCACAGGGTCCTAGGAGTCTATCACCAGGTCCTGTGGAGCTGCTGGCCGAGAGGAGACTGACAGCCTGCTGGTCAGCAGAGAGCCCTCGTGCCACGCAGGGACGTTGGGTGACTCCGGTCGCCAAGTGCCACCGAGCCAGTTCTGATTCTGCAACTTGGTGCACAGAGGAGGCCCCACCCTTGGCTGGCCCCGTCCGCACGTCTCCGCGGTGCTCACGTCCAAGGCTACGGTCACTGTGTCAGTCTATCTCCTTGAGGGTCTTCCCCTTCCCATGGACCCTCGGATTCACCCATCAGGATGTCCTCTGGGGACATCCTTTAAAGGAGAACTGCGGTGTCTGTGTTCTCCTGACTGACCGGGTGTGTGACTCTGTTGTCCTCTCCCCCACAGCCTCTGTGAGTAAGGTTGTCATCCGTGAACCCCAGCTTGTGTGGGTCACTAGGTGCTCTGCCCTCGTACGCTTTGGTCACTATCTGGGGGTGGAAGCTGTCAGCAGAGGGCTTGCAGCCTGTGGTGCCCCAGCACCTTGGTGGTCTCCCAGCACCCTGGTGGTCTAGGGCTGCTGGAGCCTCACATGGGGGTGGCTTTCACAAACTGGAATGCATTTTGCTGTTGTTTCAGAGGCTGGAAGTCCGAGGTCAGAGCAGCAGCTGCAGGGGAGAGTGGGAGGGTCTCTGTTGGTTCTGCAGGAAGGTCTGTGTCTTTTCTCAGCTTCCGTTCTTGAGCTGCTTTTAGCCTGTAAGTGGCCAGCTTTATCGCTCCGTCTCTGCTTGCTTCCTTTGCTCTCTGCATCTTAAAACACATACACACTCTGTGTCTGAGACACTACCACATCTAAGGTGCCCTAGAGACACAGTGGTCAAAGCATTCAGCTGTGAGCCAGATGGTCGCAGGTTCAACCCCACCTGCCAGTCAGCAGGAGAAGGACGTAGCCATCTGCTTCTTAAAGCATGGCTGCCCTGGAGTCACCTGTGACCCACAGCGACCTGTAAGCAGTGGAGCTAAGCCTGTCCTCTCCTGGGTCACCCTCACGATCTCTGACACCCTTGAGTCCACTGCTGCAGTCGCTGTATCTTTCCTCCTGACTGACCCACCACCATCCCTAGCGTGAGGTCCCTTCCCAAGGAACAGCCTCTCCTGGCAACATTCTTTGTGACTGCTGCTTCTCCGAGACGTCTCTGGTTTTTCCGTGGGATTTCCAGTACTCTTCTCCAACACCACAGCTCAGAGGTGTCCTTAATCATTGTCCAAAGACGTTACCAAGTTGAAAACACCACAAGCAGTGTCACTGTGTCTGGGGTCCCTGTGAGTCAGTGTCAGCGTGGTGGCTCAGGGTGTCATTTGGGTTTAAGGAGCCCCAGTGGCACTGTGTGTTAAGCATTGTGACCAGGTCAGTTGTTTGCACCCCTAGGCTGGGAGGATGGGCACAGTGTGCATCTGTAAAGATCCCAGCGTTGGGACGCGCCGGGGCAGCTCCGTTCTGTCCTGCAGGGTCGCTGCGAGTCACCCGGGGGCAGGGCCAGGCTGTGGGGCCCACTGGACCTGTAACGCTCCTCTCCCCACAGCTGACCGGGAGTTCATTGAGGCGCGGAGGAGGGCCCTGAAGCGCTTCATTAACCTGGTGGCCCGCCACCCCTGCTTCTCTGAGGACGTGCTGCTCCAGCTCTTCCTGTCCTTCAGTGGCTCCGTGAGTGCCCTGGCTGCCAGCCGCTGGCCCGACAGCTTTGCTGAGGCTCCCACCTTGGTCCTTCCATCTCAGTCCTGCTCCCTGATGGGAAGGTTGGCAGCTGGAACTCACCTGCTGGGGCTTCAGGGAATGGTCCGAGTCCGCAGACCCCATAACCCACCTGCTGAGACTATAGACCCCAAGACCCACCCTGAGACAACTGACCCCCCTGAGACCACAGACCCTGTGACCCACCTGAAACCACAGATCCGTGACCCCCCTGAGACGACAGACCCCATGACCCCTCTGCTGGGACCACAGACTCCATAAAACCCCTGCTGGGGCTTCAGGAGAAGGACTGAGTCCTCAGGACCCATAACCTACCTGAAACCACAGACCTGTGACCCACCTCCCGTGGCTTCAGGGGGAGGCCTGGGAGGTGGCTCCCGCGTCCACAGACCCCCAAGGAGCAGCCGTAGAGTGGATGAGACAGCACCGGCTGTTTGAAAGCAATCTGAGTGGTGGTTTACACAGCATGTTGTTCCAGCCGGTCACCCACGCTCCTCTCAGAACCGCCGTCTGCTCGCCCCTTTCCTCCGTAGTCCTTCCTTTCAGTCATCTTAACAGGAGGTTCTTGTTATGTCCCGTGGAGTCAGAACCGACCCCGGCTGACCCCCAGAGGGTTCGGAGGCACTGAATCCCACAGGTGCATGCCTGTCTTGATCCCCGGAGCAGCTGGTGGATTTGAACCCTGTGCCTTCTGGTTGACAGTGCAGCGCCTCCCCCTTAAGTCCTTGTTATGAGGAATGACCTTCCTGCCCCGCGCCCTCGCCTCCCCGGCCCCTGTGCTGGAGCGATGCCGTCGGTGGCCGCTCTCTGTAGCTCTTCGGAAAGCCAGTCTGCCCTCTGCGGTCTGGGTCCCGAGCCTGACCGACGTCGTCAGCTCAGTGCCCTCCCGGTTTTATTTGCATCACTTAGAACACAACAGGCTTTTTCAGCTCGCAGCGCTAGACCTTGACGCGTCCTCTTAGGTTCATGGAAGAGATCGGCGTGGGCGTGCAGGTTAGGTCATCACTGTCCAGACACGACACTGCTGCTTGCAGAGGGAGACGAGTGTGGCGTGGACAGGAGGGGCTGGTGGCCTGGCTGCTCCGGGGGGTTCTGGGCAACTTGGGGGGCGAGTGGTGGGTGCAGTTTCTGGAGGGGCCAGCGCAGGTGCAGGCAGGCCTCAGGTCGTTACACCTGGCGGATTCTGTGGGTTTGCGGCTGCTTTTCACATTTGAAGGTGTGAGGGCCCCCCTACAGCAAGCAAGCCTGTTCTCACAGAGCTGCGTGTCTCGACCTGCGCTCAGAAAGCCGTCTTAGAGACTGAGTAGGTGAGGCAGCAAGCAGTTAGAGTACGAGAACAAAGGCCTCGTGTGTGAGGAGCCGCACTGTCAGCACAGAGGCACGCAGTTCGAGTCCACCAGCTGCTCCACAGAAGCTGGGCAGTCCCCTCCCACGGGATTCGCTGCCTCTGAAAACCAGCTGGAGGGTCAGCTAGGGGTCAGTTCTGACTCAAAGGTGCACACAACAAAAACAGCATGTAGGAGGCAGCTGTGATGGCGGGTCTCTAGGGAGCTGGGGTCCCCTGCCCACGGGCAGACTCTGACAGGTGGGAGATTGACCCCCTTGTGCATGGCATCGAGGACAGGGCTTCAGCAGCAAAAACTTGGCCTGAGGAGTTGGGGATCTGAGGTTCTCCTTGGTAAGGTGAGGGTCCCCTTTTGAGGTGGGTCTGGGAAGTTGGGGAGGGCCGAGGGCCTCCCGCTGACCCCTGCACAGGGAAAGCACACGGTGAAGCTCTATCAGTGCGGCTTCCTCTCCCTGGTATCGAGTGGAGCCGGGCGTGACCCTGGCAGGGCCCCTGCCACTCTGTGACCCCCATTCCCGGCAGAGGGGACAGACACTGCAGTCCTCCTGCTCGGTGTGACCCCGGAAGGGCCCCTGTTGCTCTGCGACTCCAACCCATTCTGGGCAGAGGGGACAGTGCAGTCCCCTCGGGAGGTCTTCCCTGGACCAGAGCCACATCTGCTGAGCCCTGGAGCAGACAGACCCTGGAGGAGAATGTCCACCCAGAGGAGAATGGAGTCAAACTGTGAGCTGTGCAGTGGGGCCACCCCCTCACCCTGGACAGGTAGAAGGGTTTTAGGTGCTTGTCCTTAGATGTCCCTGGGGATTTGTGGATAGTTCTCCAGCTCTTCGGTGAGTCTTGTGCCAAATTCACAGGTGTATATTATGTTTAGATTGCTATGTCTGCCCAGGTGACTCTTAGCTTTACATTCTAACGTATCCAATAAGTGTTCTGATGTGTCTGCTGTAAATTCTCTGAAGTCTCTGGGTAATTCTTCGGCATACATTGTGGTTTTGTGAATATGCTTGTGGCCCCTCTCAGGCTATGTTCTCAGATGTGTATGACAGTTCTTCTAGCTTGATATTCATCCCCTGCTGACTCTTGGGCATACGGTCTAGGCATACACTGTGTATTTGTATACAGTCTTACAGATCTTTGGGTGATTGTGGGTATACATTATTAAATATGGGTGTCTGGAGGGTCTGTTGCAGGTTCGGGCGGGGGTCTGGTGGGGTTCTGCTGCAAGGTCGGGGTCTGGTTCTGTTAACTGCCCTGCCCTCAGGCTTGCTGTTAGTGGTGAGTTAAGCAATGACGCCCCATGTGTGGAAGCCCCGCACCCCGCTCTCCCTGGTGCTGGAGGCCGAGGCCATGATGGCTGCTGTCCCCCTACAGGACGTGCAGAACAAGCTCAAGGAGACTGTTCAGGCCATCGGAGATGAATTCCTGCACTGCCAAGTGGCTTCTCGGGCCAAGGTAGGTCACCTGGGCGAGGCTCTGCCTGTGGGGGCCAGTGGTTCTTCAGCAAAGCCAGCCCCAGCCTTAGACCTAGACTCCTGGCACTGGGGCCACTGAACTCCAGACGAGACCCACTGCCGTTGGCCCCCTAAGCCCCAGACCAAGCCCACTGCCACTGAGGACCCCAAACCCCAGATCAGGCCCAGTGCTGTCAGCCTCCTAAGCCCCAGACCAAGCCCACTGCCACTGGGGACCCCAAACCCCAGACCAGATCTACTGTCATTGGTGTCCCTAATCCAGCCCTCTGTTGTTGGGGACTCCCAAAGACCAGATTCAGCTCTTAGCTATTGGGTCCCCCAAAACTCTCCAGCTCACTACTGTCAGGGCCCCAAAAACCCTCACGCCAAGCCCACTGCCAGTGGGTCCCCAAATCTCAGGCCAAGCCTCCTGTCATAGGCATCCCCCCAAACCCCAGACCTAGCCTGCTATTGGGTACCCTCAAACCCCAGACCAGGCCCATGGCTGCTGGGCCCAGGGCCCTCACAGTTCCCTCAGCGAGAGTCCCACAGTATGGGCCTCCCTTGAAACATGGGGCCATTGTGGATGAAAGTATAAACGATGCTTGAACATCAAGCATTTGCGCTGTGTGGACTGCAGAGACTGGTCAGCGGTCACTGTGTTAAATGATGCTTGCCATGCTTAAATGCACCATGAGAGAAACAGCGGGGGGTGGGGGGCCATCGATGAGTGGGCCCCAAGTCATTCAGGGGCTGGCTGTAGGGAAAACAGGTTATCATGAAATGTATTGGGAAGTAAGGGGCTGACTGGACAGTGTAATTAATTAGTTAATTAATTACATTAATCAGTGGTAATTAAGGTTGGAACAGAAAATGCCAATGAAGCTCAGGGAAAACCAGTATGAAATGTAAACCCTTACTGGAATAAAGACTGATGAAGATACATTGTTACTGGACTCGGTAGGCAGTCACACTCTTCTGAGAGGCACAGCAGTGGAATGCTGTGGTTTCTGCCCATGCTGCTCCCGGACATGGTGACCTGCTGACGTTCTCAGCAGCGTGCAGTGCAGCCGTCCAGCCTGCTGATCCGAGCCGCCCCTCCCCATTCCCTCTGGTCTCTCTCTAGTCTTTCCTGTTGATGTCACTGTGGTCCTGTTGAGTTCTTCTTGACCTAAACTACTGCGTGGTTTTAATATGACTTCAGGAGATTGTTCTGGTTTAAATGTAAAAGTTTTCTCAGGGCAGTAGTGTGGGAGATTCAGCCACATTTCATGGCTCCAGAAAGTCTAGTGTTGGAGAATTTGAAATGCTGTTTCCCCTTTTGAACAAGATCCTTCTGTGTGGCCTCTGACTTAATAGTTACAGTTCATGATTTCTTTTTCATGCTTGTTGTGAATTGAGTGAAAGTTTAGAGACCAGATTTGTTATCCATTCAGTGATTCTTGCACGCCTTTGGGGTGGAAGTTCTGAGGACACACTGGTTTTCCATTCAGCAGCTGATACATGCTCTGCACTGTCCACGGTGCTCTGTGCTCTGACGCACCTGGGTCTCCACGTGCCCTGCGCTCTTATGCACCTGGGCCTCCACGTGCCCTGCGCTCTTATGCACCTGGGCCTCCACGTGCCCGCACTCTGATGCACCCCTGGGCCTCCACGTGCCCTGCGCTCTTATGCACCTGGGCCTCTGCGTTCTGACGCAGCTGATCCTCCACGTGCCCTGCACTCTGACGCACCTGGGCCTCCACGTGCCCTGCACTCTGACGCAGCAGAGCCTTCATGATGCTCTGTGCTCTGACGCACCTGGGCCTCGTGGGACATGCTCGTCCCACTTCCCCCTGTGCTTTCCTGTCCCACTCCTCCTTCCTCGTCCTCCCTTCCTGCCTTCTGAGCTTATCCTTGGGCAAAGGCTAAGATAGGTTTAAAATTTGTACTGGACTTGATGTCTCCCAAGACTAACCTTTTTCAAAGGATTAAGACAGATACAATGTTCAAGATAGATACTTTTTTTTCCCCATTGAGAAACTGGTTTAATAATGTCAACATTCTTCCCTGTCACTTAAAGAGGTATTCATAAGTAGAAGTACTAGCGTATGTTGGTGCCAGGGAAGAAAAAGGAGTCAGTCAACCCAACTATAAAGGACACAGGACAGATGTTCCTTTTTTTATTTGTGTGTGTTATATTTTTAAAATTTATTATTAATTTCAGTAAAAATTTACAGAGACTTTGGATTTCCATTCATTCATTGTTGCAGTTTTCTCCCCTCCCAACCCTCCGCCCTAGTACACTACTCTCTTGGAAAACAAAAATTATTTCATTTTTTTACAAACCCTCCCCCAGGTCCACTCCACCATGTAGCCTTTGCTCTAGACACCTGTCATGACAAAAATACTTAATCACATATCTCTTTTTTTTTTTT